ATGTATCACACTGACATTGAGTTTCTGTCTCAGATATGTTTTATTTCATGAAGAAACCCGCGCTGAGGAAAAAATATCAAATAACACTAGAGAGGGTACCCCGATGTGGCCAAGATGGCGAGTAAAACATAGGAATCCCTGCAGTCAGATTGTGACAAAAGAGGAGGGCAGTTCTCTAGGAGACAATGTCATCTGGGAAGGACAGGTAGGATTTAGTGGAATTTTGAAGGAGGGAAGCCTCCGACCCGCAGTCAGCAAATCCAAGGCTCATAGACCCCAGGTTCTCAGGGTTGTTCTGTGATCTGAACATGTTACCTGTCTGAAGTCCTGTACCCCCAGGAGTAAAGGAAGGGTGAGGATAACCACCTCATATCAAGAGACACAAGTGTCTGAAATGTGAATTAAAGTATAGGTTCTTTTTTTTATTTTTTAAGATTTTATTTATTTATTTGACAGACAGAGATCATAAGTAGGCAGAGAGGCAGGCAGAGAAAGAGAGAGAGGGAAGCAGCCTCCCTGCTAAGCAGAGCCCAATGCGGGGCTCAATCCCAGGACCCCAGATCATGACCTGAGCCAAAGGCAGAGGCTTTAACCCACTGAGCCACCCAGGAGCCCCGAAAGTATAGGTTCTAAAGCACTTGCTCAGTGGGGCTGAGTGTCAGGGTCGAGACTTAAGGTTGGCTGGCCTCTGAACAGGACCCTGAAGACAGGACTTGGCTGTGTGGAGAGGAGACAGGGAAGCATTCTAGAGGAGGCGAAGGGAGCCGTGCTTGGTGAAAGGCCCGAGGAGCAAGACAGACAGTCCTGGGTTGGGGGACCCAGTGGGCGTGGAGCCTGTGGCACTATGTGACAATGGGGATCACCTTGGGGGACACTGAGGAAAGAGGCAGAAAGGCTGGTTTCAGACAGGCCCGCTTCCCTGGCATTTACACGTCACTTCTCCACCCACAAGTCTAGGGTCCTTGGGAGTGTGGTGACAGTGGAATCAGGCTTCAAGTCTCCAGGAGCTTACTGATTTTTTTTTTTTTTTTTAAGTATCGTAACCGTGTGTGACAATATAATCCTCTCTTCCATCTGTCTTCAATCTCCTTTCCCGTGCTTAGGGCACAGTCAAGCATCTGTTCCAGGGGAACGGGGACCTCTCTCGAAGGTTACTCTACGTGTCACATGTGAGTAGGAAATCAGCTGCATATGATTTAATGTGACTTGGATCAGGACAAACCCGAAAAGGAGATCAACGTGTTGTTTTAACCCACACTCTCCACTCCAACCTTATATTCTAAATATTTACCGTTTAAAAAGTAGAAATTGGAAATTTCCAATTTACAAATTGGAAAGCATCAAACAGAACCAAAGAATCCCAAGTTAAGTCTTCCTCTTACCACAGATCCTCAGTCTTTTTTCTCCCCAGAAGTCACTGTCCTTTCCAGGCACTTTACCCTCCCCAAAACATCAACTATGTAGACAAGCTTTCCATATGGCCAGACCCTTACTGTTGAGAACATCTGATCTGATGGGTTGTTCTACAGGTAAGGTGACTGAGGCCCAGAATCGTGATGACTGGAGCTATTTTGGTTCACGCCTTTATGCAAATACCTGGTAACAAAACAGTATATGTATATTTTATTTACTTTCATGTTTTCTATTTTTTTTTATTTTTTAAATATTTTATTTATTTGTTTGACAGACAGAGATCACAAGTAGGCAGAGAGGCAGGCGGGGGAGGGGGGGAGGCAGGCTCCCTGCAGAGCAGAGAGCCCGATATGGGGCTCAATCCCAGGACCCTGAGATCATGACCTGAGCTGAAGGCAGAGGCTTAACCCACTGAGCCACCCAGACATCCTTATTTATTTATTTTTTAAAGTAGATTGCATGACCAACATGGGGTTTAAACTCATGACCCTGAGATCAAGTCATGTGCTGTACCAACTGAGCCAGCCAGGCATCCCATATTTACTTTTATTTTCATTTAAATTATACATGCCTACAATTATTTAATATATAAATTTATTGTATTTACCCAATTATATATGCAGCTTTCTTTTTTTTAAATTTTATTAATTTACTTGATAGAGAGCACAAGCAGGGAGAGTAGCAGGCAGAGGGAGAAGCAGACTTCCTGCTGAGCAAGGAGCCCAATGATGTGATGTGGGGATAGACCCCAGGACCCTGGGATCATGACCTGAGCCGAAGACAAACGCTTAATTCACTGAGCCACCCAGGTGCCCCGTGGCTTTCTATAGCTTAATCAAAGTTATTGTCAAAATAAAAATATATAAAAATTCTTAATTTTCAAAAATTAAAACAAACAAACAAACAAACAAACAAAATTTCCCTACTGATGATGAGGTCAGAGGAGGTGTTCTGAGCGTGAACACACTGCTCCTTTTTGGAAGAATCCTGGGGGACCGGACAGGTGGGAAGAAGCCAAGGGGGCTAGAGGCCAGAGAACCTGTCAGAAAGTCACCCTGGTCATTCAGGTATGATCACCAGGGTGTGCCAGTGGCCTGGGGCAGGGTGACGGAAGAGGTGGGCCGACTCGGCTGAGGTGCCATAGGCCTGAGGACCTGCTGACAAACGGGGTGCAGAGGAGGGCCCTTCAGGCCTTGGGGAGAATGACTGGGTATCAAGGAGAGAAATGGAGCTGGTAAACCCAGACAACCGTGACACGCACAGGTGTGTCAGGCAAATGGACAGAAGGAACAAGGCCTCGAGGACAGGGACAAGGCTAAGCCACTGACATGGAAGGATTTCTAGAACTGACCACATGGAGCAGGAAATGTTCGAGGAAGAGAATGTAAAGGAAGCATGTGGCTCTGAGCCTTAGGGACATGGTGGTTAGGAGGCAGCAGGAGGGTAGGACTCGATGTGAGAAGTCTTAGGGAGCTACTGCAGGTTCTTGAGCAGAGGAGTGACTGCTCCTGGACTCTTAGAGGCAGAAGGGATCTCCCAGTCCTGGGACTCTGCTCTTATTCCACACTTGAGGACCACATTCCTACAAGGCAGCCCCTAATACATCCTGTGGGCAGGCACAGCCCCAGGGAAGCGGGCCCAGCTTGTCCTGCCGGCACTGGCTGGAGGCCCCCTGCCTGCGGGTGGGCAGCTGTCCTCGGGAGAGGGGTGGGGAGGAAGCAGCCCTCCCCACCCTTCTCAGGCTGCACCTTCTCAGCTCTCACATCCTGCCTGAGAGCGTCCCCTACAGAGGAGAGGGTTGGAGTCTCGGGTCACCGCTTCAGGTCCTCCCAAGTTATACACTCCCTGTGTCTCTCAGGACACACTTTCCAGGCTCCTGGCTCGCCTGCCCACCAGGCTGAGGACTGTGCACTCTGATGCAAAAAAAATGAGGCAGCCATTTCTAGAGCTGGTCTGCTCTGAATTCTCGTATCATCTCATTTTACCCTCCCATCCCTTTGGGAACCAAGGCCCATCCCCTTTCCAAAGAAGAAGCCAGATCCCCAAGTTAGATGCCCAACACCACCCTGAGCAGTGAGGACAGAGCAGGGACAGATCAGGGCCCATTTCCAGGACCTCACAGCCCTCACACGACCTGGGTCTCGGGACATGGGGGCCTGCGTTAAGGGGCCACGTGGAAGGCTGCTGAGTGGCAGCCAAGAAGAGCCTGGCAGTGGGCCATCCATGAAAGGCAAGGAGTGGGGGAACAGTCATCTTTCCAGGAGGGTCTCCTTTCTGGCCACTGTGCCAGCTGACTGTGGGCAACGGACAGCACGCAGTCACCTGCCATCAGAATGGCCCGGTCTGAGCAGGGGCACTCCACCCTTGCCCGTTCCTCTCTCCAGCTCCTGGAGCAAGTTGGGGGAGAGGATGGCGCCCCTGAGTGGCTCAGGGGCTGCCCCCAGACACATGTGAGCCATTCTGAGAGTTGTGGTTAGAAGCCGTGTGGCTCTAAAGGCAGTGTGTCTGGATGTGAACCCAGTTCCGTCACTACTTAGTCGTGTACAAGGGACTTACCCTACCCTCGGGATGATAATATTGGTTTTGCGAGTTGTTATCAAGGTCCGCGGAGCCCTTGGAGTGAGTAGTGGCACATAGTAAATGCACAATAAACGGAACTCCTCAGAAGACATCTTCCTCACACTTGTTACTCTGATCTGGGGGACACACCAAGGGGTACAGAACCAGAACTCCCATCAAGCGGGTGCTGGAACACCAACAGTGAGTGATCACAGATACACTGAAACCACTTCTCAGCCTCCGGGTTGGAGACACAAGAGAGTGACAGAGACTGGCAAACTGGAAAGCCAGTGGCCTTGTAATGAAGGAAGCTACTGCCCAACCAGAGGCTGCCATGTGAAAATTTGGGCCTTGCTGCCACATCTTTGGATTTTCCAAAGAAGCGGGAAATTTGGATCTGTATGTGAAATGGACTGATTTTTTTTTTTAAGATTTTATTTATTTGTCAGAGTGAGAGAGAGAGAGAGAGCGCACAAGCAGGCAAAGTGGCCGGCAGAGGCAGATTGAACCAGGCTCCCCACTGAGCAAGGAGCCCGATGTGGGACTCAATCCCAGGACTTTGGGATCATGACCTGAACCCAAAGGCTTAACCAACTGAGCCACCCACGCATCCCGAAATGGACTGATTTTTAAAGGTGCCGATTAATCTGGCTAAACACACGTGTGCACACACACCCCACCCCCACCACGGAACAGGGTGTAGGCCAAATTAAACCCTTCTGAGAGCCTCCAGGATGCAGTTTCCAACCCCCACCCCCAACCCCTCTCTAGACTTGTTGCCCCCAGGCCACGTCAGGCTTTTGCAGGGAGGAGGCAATAGTGTGCTGTGAGAAACAGCAGAGAAAGGGAGACCAGGAGGGGCAAAGGCCCTGAGGTGGGAGAGAGGTGTCAAAGGTGATGGGAGCGAGAGGTAAGACAGGGATGCACCTGGCTGGGAAGGTGGGTGAAGGAGATAGCACAGAGATCTGAGCAGGGGCAGGGCCCAGGAATGGGGGGCACTTCTCCTGGTGCCCACACTCTCTGCACCCCAGATGTAGGCCCAGAGGGGCTGCATCCTCTTGAATAATTTCTGACACACAGTTTGTTCCTGCGCTCACTCCTCCACATCCCCGGACAAATAACCCTGTTCACCTTCTCCTGGGAATCTCCTGTTGTCTATCACTTACACACTGTCAAACTTCTTGAGTTCTTGAGGGTAGAAAGCCTGATTCTTGTTCAGCTCTGGGGTCTCTCCACCACTGTTCTCCCCGCAGCGTCCAGGCTTCAAGAGACAAATGTGCGATGGAAATAATGACGACCGTGGCCTTAAGCACGTTGCCTCACTTCCCACAGCTCAGTTTCCTCTCCTGTAAAACGGGGATAATCACGAATTGTGGTGAGGAGGAATGAGATAAAGGGTGTAAGAATTGGGAGTCCAGGTAACCTGGGCCTTGGGAAGCCACCAGTGTTCTCATTTCTCCTGCTATGAGCTGGGTACCCCCTGAGCGGCTGGGAAAGGGCCCTCGCTGGTCAGTGACACCCCCCCACACACACACACACAAACACACACAACTGAATTTCCTCCTGCCACCATGGCAGCTCAGAGGAGAGCCAACTGGGCAAGAAGCATACTGCAAATCCCTCCTGGCTGCCAGGGTCCCCTCAGCCCAGACTCCTGCTGTCATGACTTATTTCATTTATGCCATTTTCAGTCTGTAGGATGTTCCCTCTTGGCATCTGCCCAGCCAGTCCACGCTCCCACCCCACAACCCAGGCATCTGAACCCCATCCCTGAGTCTGAGTCCCAACAAAGGCAGGCCCCAGGGGACAAGCAGCCACCAAATCCAAGCTCCGGGTTGCCGACAGTGGCCAGCAGAACCCCCTTCAGATGGAGAGTAGCCAGCAATCCAGAGACCCCTCACTGGCATCTGGGCTTCCCCCTGAGGACCCGCTCCCGCTGTAGACCGAGAGAGGGGCGTCTCAGCCACCTCCCCCGTTCCCCGTCCTTTTTTTTTTTTCCCCAGGCTGCGGGAGGCAAAGGGTTAAATCCCATAGAGCTGATGCTCTGACTCCAGGCTAGAGGGGCCCGGGAAGCTGGGGTCACTTCCTGCTCCGTCCCAGTCACCCTGAACTGGTCCCCGGGTCCTCAGCCTGGGATCACCCCTTGAGAAGGACCCCAGAGTCCTCGGCGTCCAGCCTGCCCCCCCGAGGCAGGGCATTCAAGGGGTTAAGTCCCCTGGGGCTGGATTCTGCCTTCCGGCCTTCCCCAGACTCCAGAGCCGTGAGTTGGGGACGCCTGGGTTCCTGGGGGATGGCCCGGAGGGCCCGGGACGGCCGCCGGGAACAATGGGGCGCGCGAGGCGGGGGCGCGCGGGCCTGCGCCCCCTCCCCGCCCCGGGCGCGGGTGGGGTGGGGGCCGGGCAGGGGCCGCGAGGGGCCGAGGATTCTGGGAAGAGCGCGAGGGTCTGGCTGTGGGGGAGGGGAGGGAGGGCGTGAGCATTCTGGGAAGAAGGAATGGGGCCGCCGGCGGGGCCAGGGCGCCGTGGAGCGCCGCAATCCTGGGGGCCCGGCGGGCGGGGGAGGCTAGGATGCGGGGCTCCGGCCCGGGAGCCGGAAGAGGGTCGCGGGGACCCACGCGAGCACAAGTCCAGGGTCTGCGTTGGTGCGGGCGTGGGGGAGGGGGGGCCGGGGCCGGGGCGGCTGCATTCCCGCAGCTGCCTCCATGTCAGGGTCACCCTGGGCCGCTCTCCACCCCTCTCTGCGAGGCAGCCTCCTCCTCCTGTCCTTCCCTCCCACCTTCCCTCCGCGGTGGGGCCGCCCGAGGTCCAAGGCCGGTGCCCCGCGGCCTGTGCCTGGGTGGGCTCCCAGCACTTCTTGCCTCCCTCCGTCTAACTACTTTCCTACTGCATGGCGGCCTTGGCTTTAACCCCTTCCCTTCTGCTCGGGACCGCTGAGCTTGAATTTCTTGGGACAATCAAGGTACATGAGGTCTTACCTGTCCTAGGAAGCCCAGCGGGCCTGTTCTGAATAGGCGGAGGCCCCTGCTCCCATCGCTCCAAAGACACTTACAGATGGGGGAAGGGACATTTCATGGCCTAAGGAGCTGCAGAAATGAAGACATTAATTTACTTCCCAAAATCCAACTCCTGTCTCCCCTACCGCTGTTTGGCAGGGTGCAACTCGCTCCTGCTACACTTTGGTTGCCTCCCAGCTGCCTCCTCTTGAGTGCTGGCCCTGTCTTCTGCACCACTGCCCCCCTAGGCACTGTGCCCCTCCCACACAGCCTCTGGAAGCCAGGACCCTCCCCCAGGGACTCTGTTTAGGCTCTAAACATTGTGGGAGCCTAGAATTTAGCTCCTGAGGACCTACTCCCTCAAGCTGGAATCCCGTCACCCTTTTTGGAGGGATAGCTAGCTGTGAAGTTTTACCAGGAGGCCACTCTGAACTCCTGCTCCTTTGGCGCCAACCCCTTTGCAAACTGACCTTTAAAGGCATTAGACCAGACAGGTTTTCCAGGAACGAGGGGCATCTCCCTCATTCACCTTCATTCATTCAACAAAATGTCTAAGGCACCTCTTAGGTGTCAGGCACTGTCCTAGGCACAGGGTACAGCCACAACAAAACAGAACAAATGAAACAGAAGAAGGGGTGTTAATGGGGGCGGGCCTTCAGCAGGGAGTACTGTTTTGAGGTCATCGGCGCAGACTGTCAGGCATAGTCACCGAATCCGACAAGCCAAGGAAAGCGGATGGTCCTGGGAATTTCTCCGTATCATGGCCCACAGGTTCTGTCTGAGCTTTCCTCATCACCAGTCTCCTGCCAGCAGTCCACATTTATGAGTTTCACGTGACTCCCAAGGTCATCTCCCTCCCAGAGGCTGGGGCGAGCCAGACCCAGAACCTTGCATTTCTGGTTTGAGCTCTGTCACTTCCCAGCCTGTGACCTTGGAGAAATCTCCCTGAGTGTTGATTTCCTGATCTGTAAAATGGACAGACTGACTCCTCCGTCCCCTCGTCCCCTCACGGGCCTGTGGGGAGGATCGGGAGAGATAAGGACAGGACACACACCTGGGCAGCGACTGGGCAGCCCCCACACATTTTCCCCTTCTCCCCTTTCCTTTTCATTTCCCTCTCAAGGTCATCTCTGCAGAAGTCCCCCATGGGTTCAGACCGCCCCCCCCACCTCTGGCTTGAACTTTATGTGCTTGGATAACGGGAAAGTGCCCCAGTCCTTTTGGAGGGCCCCATCCCCTCAGGGAAATCTGATTGCTTTCCTGCTTGTTTGCTTGCTTGCTTTTCTTTCTTTCTTTCTTTCTTTTTTTTTTTTTAACTCTTCAAGTGTTCCAGGCACTGTAAGTTCTCTGGGCTCATAAGGAAAGTTTATTGGTCCCAATTAGCAGCCCCATTAAGGAGGAAAATTAGAGTCATAATGAGCTTCCTCTGATTAGCAAAATAACAGGTTTCCCAGCCTCTGGGCATCAGAGGGGTGGGGTGAGAGCCTCCTTCCCCCGTGGGTGTCAGATACTTCTCTAGCCCCCAGTCTGGGTTCAGAGGGTTATGACTGATGAGCTTTTAATTACACACTTAAATTCATCTACCGGCTTAGTTGTGATCTTAAGATCTGGAGCAGGAATCGGGCCTGCAGGGGTAGGGGGGCCGCTGTGAGAACAGACGCCCGGAAAAATGGGGAGATGGGAAACTGAAGTTCACCCAAGGAGGAACGCGGCCTGGGGCCAGCAGGTGAAGGAGTCGGGCTTGGGAAGTAAAGAAACTTGCAGATCAGCTCTGATCGTGTGATCCTCTCTTCTCCCCTATCCCCCTCCCCCAGGGTGCCTGGAACACTGGGCAGTCCTGAGCTCTGGGATGGAGCCTGAGACGGCACTGTGGGGCCCCGATCTGCAGGGTCCTGAACAGAGCCCCAGCGATGCTCACAGAGGTGAGGGGCACAAGAAGGGACTGCAGGCCTGACAAGACAGCGGCCCTGGTTCAGGGAGGGGCCCAGACTCTGGGGGACACCCAGGGGAGGGAAGAGAGACCCGGCCCTGTGTTCTGAAAGGAAATGGGGGCTGGAGACTCCCTTTCTCTCTGTAGGTGCTGAGAGTGGGAACGAAGAGGAGAACCCTCAGCAGGAAAGTTCTGGGGAGGAGATCATCTTGGGAGATCCAGCTCAGAGTCCAGAATTCAAGGACCCATCAGAGATGCCCCCAGAGAGACCTTCCCAGGATCCAACAGTCCCTCAGGACTCCCCAGCCCCACTGGGTCACCCCAACCCCTTGGACCAGCAGACGGCTCTGGATCCCCCCGCCCCTGAGGTAGTCCCTACGCCCTCGGACTGGACCAAGGCCTGTGAGGCCAGCTGGCAGTGGGGGACGCTGACCACGTGGAACAGCCCCCCGGTGGTCCCAGCCAATGAGCCCAGCCTCCGGGAGCTGGTGCAGGGCCGCCCTTCTGGGGCCGAGAAGCCCTACATCTGCAACGAGTGCGGCAAGAGCTTCAGCCAGTGGTCCAAGCTGCTGCGGCACCAGCGCATCCACACGGGCGAGCGGCCCAACACCTGCTCCGAGTGCGGCAAGAGCTTCACGCAGAGCTCGCACCTGGTGCAGCACCAGCGCACACACACGGGCGAGAAGCCCTACAAGTGCCCGGACTGCGGCAAGTGCTTCAGCTGGAGCTCCAACCTGGTGCAGCACCAGCGCACGCACACGGGCGAGAAGCCCTACAAGTGCACGGAGTGCGAGAAGGCCTTCACCCAGAGCACCAACCTCATCAAGCACCAGCGCTCGCACACGGGCGAGAAGCCGTACAAGTGCGGCGAGTGCCGGCGCGCCTTCTACCGCAGCTCGGACCTCATCCAGCACCAGGCCACGCACACGGGCGAGAAGCCCTACAAGTGCCCCGAGTGTGGCAAGCGCTTCGGCCAGAACCATAACCTCCTCAAACACCAGAAGATCCACGCCGGCGAGAAGCCGTACCGCTGCACCGAGTGCGGCAAGAGCTTCATCCAGAGCTCGGAGCTGACCCAGCACCAGCGCACGCACACCGGCGAGAAGCCCTACGAGTGCCTAGAGTGCGGCAAGAGCTTCGGCCACAGCTCCACCCTCATCAAGCACCAGCGGACCCACCTGCGCGAGGACCCGTTCAAGTGCCCCGTGTGCGGCAAGACCTTCACGCTGAGCGCCACGCTGCTGCGGCACCAGCGCACGCACACGGGCGAGCGGCCCTACAAGTGCCCCGAGTGCGGCAAGAGCTTCAGCGTCAGCTCCAACCTCATCAACCACCAGCGGATCCACCGCGGCGAGCGGCCCTACATCTGCGCGGACTGCGGCAAGAGCTTCATCATGAGCTCCACCCTTATCCGCCACCAGCGCATCCACACGGGCGAGAAGCCCTATAAGTGCTCCGACTGCGGCAAGAGCTTCATCCGCAGCTCCCACCTTATCCAGCACCGGCGCACGCACACGGGCGAGAAGCCCTACAAGTGCCCCGAGTGCGGCAAGAGCTTCAGCCAGAGCTCCAACCTCATCACCCACGTGCGCACGCACATGGATGAGAACCTGTTCGTGTGCTCCGACTGCGGGAAGGCCTTCCTGGAGGCGCACGAGCTGGAGCAGCATCGGGTGGTCCACGAGAGGGGCAAGACCCCGGCGCGCAGAGCTCAGGGCGACAGCCTGCTGGGGCTGGGCGACCCCGCCCTGCTGACACCGCCCCCAGGAGCCAAACCACACAAGTGTCTTGTCTGCGGAAAGGGCTTCAACGACGAGGGCATCTTCATGCAGCATCAGCGGATCCACATCGGAGAAAACCCCTACAAAAACTCGGATGGCCTCATCGCACACCCAGCCCCCAAGGCGCCTCAGTTCCGACCCCCCAGGCTCCCCTTCGGAGGCAATTCCTACCCAGGAGCTGCGGAGGGCCGAGCTGAACCCCCCGGACAGCCCTTTAAAATGCCCGAGGGGCAGGAGAGCTTCAGCCAAAGGCTGGGCCTGCTCTCTTCCAAGTCCTACATTTGTTCCCACTGTGGAGAAAGTTTTCTGGATCGGGCCGTGCTCCTCCAGCATCAGCTCACCCACGGCAATGAAAAGCCCTTTCTCTTCCCTGATTATAGGATTGGTCTAGGGGAAGGGGCCGGGCCCAGCCCCTTTCTAAGTGGAAAGCCCTTTAAATGCCCTGAATGCAAAAAGAGCTTTGGCCTCAGCTCTGAGCTGTTGCTGCACCAGAAAGTCCACGCAGGTGGGAAATCCCAGAAGAGTCCGGAGCTGGGGAAGAGCTCTTCTGTCCTCCTGGAGCACCTCAGGAGCCCCCTGGGGGCCAGGCCCTACAGCTGCTCAGACTGTGGGGCCTCCTTTCTTGATCGCCTGGCGCTCACCCGGCACCAGGAGACCCACACCCAAGAAAAGCCCCCCACACCTGAGGATCCCCCTCCAGAGTCAGCCACCCTGTCCACGGTCCAGGAAGGTGCGGCAGAGGCCCCCACCCCCACGGGGAGTGGCCACCATGGGGACGGGGAAAACCCCAAGACCCTCTTGGAAGAAAAGCCCTATTTGTGCCCTGAGTGTGGAGACAGCTTCACGGAAGTCGCAGCCCTCCTCCTCCATCGGAGCTGCCACCCTGGGGTCACCTTGTGAAATGGGTCTGGAGACCAAGGGCCTCTCTCTCCTGAGAGGAACACTGGCTCTCCCCAGAGAGGGTGGGGGAAAGGAGGAAAACCCTATCAGGTTGTAGAGAAGCGGAGGATAAAGAACCCGGGGTAAAAATAGTTCTTTTACATCAGTGACGAGAAACCCTATAAAAATGTTGGTGGGAACCACTTAATAAGGCAGTAGAGAAAAACTGTGGGTTAGAAACCCTATAAATATGTAGGAAAAAAAAAAAAAGCCCTTTAAGTCTGTAGCAGAAAAACCCTATAAACCATAGTGGATAAAAGCCCTATTAATTGTAGGAAGAGGTCCCAATATGTCTCTAGACAACCCTATAAAACTGTATCAAAATCCTTGTGAAACTATAGGGTCGGGGAAGTGCAGGGAATCCAGTGGCATTGACTTGAAAGGAGTGACCCTCAGAAGGTGTAGCAGAGCCTCCCATGAACTTGTCCCGCAGTGTTCCCTCCCCCTGGAGTTCGGAGGGGGCCTCTCTCCCAGAAGCCTTGGACAGTGACACTGAGGAAAATGCTCAGCTGGGGACTAGTGTGGGGGGAGGTGAAAAACAAGGGAGGAGGAGCCCCCAGGCCCACAGAGAAGAAACAACCCAGGGAACTAGGAGGAGAAAGTTCAGCTCCCTGCCCTGGGGCTTCCTCAGGGGATGAGGCCGATCTTAGGTGATTGCCTGTTAGAGGAAGAGGCCCACGGAATTCCTTAGGAGGAAGAACCCAAAAATGGGGAAGGAAAAAAAAAAGTGATGTCAAGCCTTTTTAAAGGCTTAAGTTTGGGGTGCATAGGAACTTCAAAGAACACTGGGAAACCACCACAATAGGGGGCAGGGAGGGATTTCTGTTAGGGTGCTTTGAGGAAAGCAAGCCAAGGTGAAGTGGTGTCCGGATGGAGGCCAGCAAACTCGGGGCTGCCCAGTGCTCCCCGTTTCCGGGAGCTTGTTAAGCTGCAAGTGCAAGCAGATCCCAGCTCCAGCCACCAGGGCTGTTCCCCCAGGACAGGGGACTTCGACTCCAAGAGGCCTCCCCAGATGGAGGGTCCCGCCTACCCATTCTCAGGTCTCGCCGTCAGGAGCTGTCTCCTGCCATCTAACTGCCACCAGACTCGCTGCCGTGGCAGCTCGCATCCTCGAATTCTGTCCTCAGTGGAGAGGGGAACCCGCTGCTAGTCGACCTCCAAAGAATAAAGCCCTTCAGAGACTCAAGGCTTGTGTGTGGTTAAATCCTCCTTAGACTTCTCTTCTCCGAGTCAAAAGAGCCACGTGTCAGTTCTCTGTGGCCACGAGGGACAGCGAGTCGACAGAACAGAGCGCTTGGATTAGCTGGCAACCTGCTTTTTTAAGCCTCACTCTTCCATCTGAGCTGTTAGCCAGGCTGCTGGTGGGATGAGCCAGCCGGCACATAGTGGTGGGCATCCAGACACCCCACAGATGGGGCCACGGGTCCCTGAAGAGCATCCGGAAGCCTGACCACCTTCCTCACCCTGGTACTTGGAGCGCTCTGAGGTGGTGATGACCCAGTCCGATCGTGGCCTTGGAAGGGGACAGATCCCACCCTCCTGGGTTCCTCTCCTCCTTAGCCAGAAACCTCCAGAGGGAAATGGAAGGATGAGAAACCCGCTCCCCTGCCAGGCCCATCTCCCGTCCTCACACACACGCAGTAATGCTCTTTCATTAACCCAGCCCAGCCCGCTAACATAACTGGGTGTGTGTGTGTGGTGGCAGGGGTTGGGGGGATACAGAGACTGCTGCCCTAGGAAATGGTCGAGTGGAAACTCTCACGACACCTGTAACAAGAACCACCCTCTAACCCAGGAGACCCTTAAAGGAGAGGACTCCGTCCAGTGCTGGGTCCAAAGGAAGTGCCCATGGGCCCCACGCTGGCACCAGCTGTGCGTTGTGGTCCTCGACTCAGAGAACTGAGATGCTAGGTGAGGGGGCCTTTCCCTGGAGAGGGCGACCTGCATTCCTCAGAGCTGTGGAAGAGACCTCTAATCCCATGACCTAAAAGCCTGAAAGGTGAAAGCACTTCATCCTTCATCTCTCCTGCCCGCCCGAAGAGATGACCTTAAATTCAAAGGATCAAAATCTAGAACACTGTAGGAGGAAAAACCCAGGCCTGCTGGGGAGAAGGGAGAGGCAGGCCTTGGATAATTGTGGGGAGACACTTGTCACCATCTGCATAAAGCCCCAGCCCACCCAAGTGCCAGGTCAGAAAGCACTACTGAGAGGGGAGAAGGAATCTGCCCGCCGAATCTCTACTGACAGAAGCATCAGCAGAGGGGGTGTCCCTGTGAGACTAAAGAAGAGGAGACAGTCCTCCAAGTCAAAGCAGATTTGTTCGAAGACGGTAGTAGAAAGAAACCAGTTGTAGAGACAAAGCCCTTGTAAAGCTAGAAACAGCTCCCCTCCTAGAAACAGGTCTGAGGACTCTGTCTTCTTCGGAAGAGTCCTGGAGAGTAGGCTGTGGGGCTCCAGGGCCAGTCTGGGGTGGTAGCAGGGGAGATGGTCAGTGTGGTCGAAGGCCAGCCGTCAGCCTGTTGAGGACTAGGGTGTAGCATACATAGTAGGACACTTGCATGTGTAGGGATGGGTGAGGGCCAGCGGTCTTGGCTCCGGTACTGAATGGATGACGTGGGCATGACTAGTTGGGGTCCGGGGTTTTGTAGCAGGAAAGGGGCAGAATCAGAGACCTTTGGGGCGTGACCTGTTCTCTCTTGCCCACTTCCCCAAACTTCTTTACCCAGGTGCTTCCCTCCCAGAGCGAGCTGCATCTTGGGAGGAACTAAGCAGGGAGCTGGCCTGGGGAGGTGGCAGTGTCCAGAGTCTCTCTGGCCAGATGAGGCAAAGGCCCAGCGGACGGTCGTGGCACATGCCCACCAGAACTTAGTCCAAAAGGTGCAGCATAGCCAAACCCTCTTGTCCGGCTCCAGGCGTGGCTTCAGGCTTCAGAAGTGCCCTGGGGGAGGAGCCCAACAGACAGGTCACAGGGTCACTGGCGAAAGCAGAGGGGAGAGTAGACACTGATCTGAGCTTAGGGTGCAACTTGAACCTCTATGGCTGTGGAGGTCATGTGGGAACTCAACAGAACTGGGCATGGATCCTGAATGGTGAGGACACTTGAAACAGTCACAGCCAAGAGGGGAGATTCCATGACACCTGCTCCAGAGGTGAGCAGCCCCCAGACTCCTTTGCCCCTATTAGGGAAGCCCCACTCAACCTGACTTGTCCCCGTGGAGTGAAGAGAGGCCCCACTTTTGAGTGTTGTGTGTCAATAACAGTGTTGTGTCACCGGTGGTCATGTTGATTAGTTGAAGAGAATAAAGGGAATAAGATTTCCCAGGTGTTTTCTGTCTTGTCTTTCAAGCCTGGAGCAAGCTGAAGGAGCTTTATCCTCTCCCAGAGCCAGGGTCTGTGTGTCTGCTCAAAAGCTCAGCTGGGCCCATTCTTGCAGATGCCCTCAAATTCCCAAACATTGCTCACAGGTAGAAGCCAGAGGCTTTATGGATCATTAAAATCCCCGTCCTAGAGAGAAACACGCTGAGATGGTGGCAGAGCCAAGCAGCTCTTGTTGGTGCCTGGCTTTTGCCACCAGCAAAATGACCGTTGGGCGGCTGCCTGGTGATTCGGGCACTAACTGGCTCTGGTCCAGCCATGCGGCCCCAGGGAGGCCTCTCCCGTCACAAGGAAAAGCTCCAAAGATCTAGTTCCAAAAGCCGGTGGCACCTCCCCTGGTCCGTCTGGGGCCCAGTCAGCCTACCTCTGGAACAGAGCCTCCTAGACCCTGAGGAGGCACTGGTGGAGATCTCCCCCCAGGAGGTAGCCCACAAGCCCTCACTGTGTGGAGAGGCTCAGAGAAGGGCACCACTTGCCCAAGATCCACAGGAAGGCAGTAAGGGAAACCAGAACGGCCGGGAGCAGGCTCCGTACCCAGCCAAACCTGTCCTCCCCCAGCATGGGACCTGCCTGGGCCTGGCCTGGGCTCCACACTGTCTGGCCAGGAGGGGCTGCTCTCGCTGAATCCTCAATGCCAGGCTTGCCTCAGCTGCCATCTCCTGGGCCTAGGCCGGGCCATGGCCCCTGAACAGCCACCTGAGATCCACACTTGCTTTAACCTGTAGCCCACCTCTGCCCCAGCCTGCAGGGAGCCTCATGCCCCAGCCAGGAAGCTTTCTCTCCACTTTCTCTGCACCTCTCTGACCTAGACCTCCAGAGCAGTCTTGCTGTCTCTCCTTCCCCTTCCCTATCGGGAAAGCAGGAAGTGGGGTAGTAAGTAAGGGAGAAGGGACTTGCCTTTCACAGGGAGGTGAGCAGGGAAGGTTATCCTGCATTCTGTGTTCGCCATCCTGGTCCCAGCGCAGGAATCTTCAGTCAAGTGAGGGGACTTCAGGGAAACAACAGGCATTGGAGCACAGTGATTGGTTCAGAGACTTAGCAGAAAAGGCTGTGGACCCAGACATGGTGCCTGCCACAGCAGAGGGTCAGGAAACTGGCTGGAGGAAGTGACCTGAGGCAAAGGGCAAGGGCCAGGGGTGGGGTTGGGGATAGAAAGTACAGAACATTACACTAGCTAGGCGGTAGCACATAGACCAGTAGAGACTGAGGTAAGGCAGAGAACAGAAGCCAGAGTGTGGTGCATCTTGTCTGAGGAACTTGGTGGTAGGGCACCATCTGGAGGAGAGTGACGACCTTGCCCTCCGCCCTCCCCACCATGGTGGTGGTTTTGTAGGTCTGGAACTCAGGAAGGAGAACTGGTTCTCCCATCTAGGGAGAACTGGATCTTAGCAGCTTAGCTGTAGCCAAAGCCATGGATAAAGACACAGGGAAAGTAGTGAAAAAAAAAAAAAAAAAAAGGAGAGGGTGTAGCTTAGGGTTGGAGGAGCAGGGCCAGCAGAAGATAGTATGAGAACAATCAGGAGAGTGTAGCACCACGGTCCAAGGAAGTTTCAAAGAGAGTGGGCAATGTCAGATACTCCACTGGATTGTGCAGCCAATCATACAGTAGTAGCTCTAGTTCTAGCTAAAACAGGTACATTCACCATGAGGCTTGCTAAGGTGGAACTTTGGCCTGCCCATCCTAGGGGCCCAGGGTATCACACAGCCACTGAGGCCACTTGGGGTTACTGGAGGTTATCAGGGATCTGACCTCCTGAGTGAAGGGACCTGATCAGCCCCTAAGGCAGAGCCTCCCAGAAATTCTGGCATCTTTATTCTCTGCCCTTCAGCTTGAGAAAGTGGTTTGATGCCTACCAGACTAGACATGAGTTTTTACTTCTCTGAATCCGGACACCTAACAGATATTTGGGGAGGTGATGTGCAGTTACTAATATTTACTGCAAGAGCACGTGTGGAGAAGACTCCCGAGAAAGATAGTGCTCACGGGGGGCTGGCTGACCCTGACCCGCTGGGGGGGGGGGGCGCAGCCCTCCTCTCAGAGCCGGCCCGCGTCTCTATGATGCAATATGCCGCGTTTTCCCCAGCCTGACGTGTGCTGCGCTTGGGCGGTGGACACTTCCTCAACGGCCCGATGCCATCCCCGGCCGCGGCCCGGGTCTCGGTGAGCATGCCCACCGCGGCCAGCCCAGCGCCGGAAGTCACCGTAGCCCGCGTCTCCGCCTCTACTCCGACCTGGTCCAGCCGCCGCAACCCCGCCGAAATCCCGGACGCCAGGTGGAGCCCGAAGGCGGACAAGGCCGCGGGCCCCCGCAAAGGAGCGACCGCCGAAAGGGCCGCGGGGCCGCGCGAAGGCGCCACTGCTGCCAAGCCAGCGGCAGCCACCACAACCATGCGCCCGACTCCGGCCCCTAGCTCCGTCAGTACCGGCCCTGGCATGAGCCCCCAGACGGCTGCAGTGAAGGATCCACCCGCGGACCCGACAGATAGCTGAACCCACAAACACCCATCCACACGCGGTTCCCGAGAACGCGGACAGCGGCCGGCACAAATTGCAATGAAGGAAGTCACCCGCTGCGCTGCTCTAATCTGTCCGCT